GATTTTCTAAATCACCCGTAGGAAGCGACATACCTAGAAGCAGTTAAAAGTATTGAATTTCATCAAACTACTGATGGAGTTTTTCTGCACGACACGCCTATTACTCCTATATCCGTGGACGCTCAAAACAAAGTTTATTCTCTCCTTTTACTCTACTGTATTTACACAACAGCGGCGTATACGTACAACGAAGTAAAGCAACATCTGTTGTGACTGTAGCACCTTCTTTCTCAGTACAGACTGCTTCCTTTTATAATTAAATTTGTTCAAATCAAACTACAAAATGATATCAGCTACAGTGTGAAAAAACACACCTAACAGGGACACAGTGGACAATTTTTACCAGGCCCGCAGACATATGCCGTAGAAATGGTACGAAAGTCAATGAACACCTTTTTTACAGGTTTTCGAACATGCTCTTTCCAACAGTAAAATTTTCGAAATCCGAAAATACTTTTCTCTGGATTTTCTGAAAACCGAATCTCTAGAAAACCTATAAAAATATTTCTGGATGTAGAAAATCTCACTATTGGAAAGCGCATATTCGAGAATCTATAAAAAAAGGGTGTGTAGACTTTCGTCCCACTGCTAGAACGAATACCCAAATATCCACGCAAAATTTCCTGCGAAAATGCTCCTACACTATGATTCCGTTTGATCGAAAACATTTCTGAAGAAAATGCTTCAAATTATACACCATTTGATGCAGTCTTTTGCGCTGATTCCGAATATGACCTTAGTTTTTAATAAAAATGTTTCTGAGCCGCGAAAAATGGAAATACCCAGAAAACCATGGATATTTTGAAAAACCCGCTGTACGGTCCAGGTGCATTTATGTATGTTTATGCATTTGTCATAGTTGGAGGACATGTAGAAGAACATTCTGTGAAAGTCTGAACGACGTTTGAGTTGGGATGTTGAGGAGACTCATTTTACCGAAACTATCCGTTTGGGAAAGCACTAAGCGCAAAAAGAATTTTTTTTCCCGACAGAAGTGATTAAAAAAAAACTTTTTCTATTAATCCATACAGTGACAGGTCTAAGTTGAGATTATGGACGATTTTTAACATAATATTCTTATTTATTTTGCCCCTAATGTCCATGTGATTGTCCACTTTGAGAGATTTAGGTCACTAACAATATGATTTGCTACAGAATTTAATATCCTGTTCAGTTAAACTATTCAGTGATACTATATTATAATGATGTGAAAGTATATATTTTAAGTTTTATCAATAAAAGGTCTGCGGGACAGTCCCGGTCCGACGAGATTTTTTACAGAAGTGGGACCAGATTTTTTTGAAACTAGTCTTATATCATGCATTCTTAGTTGTATTGTGAAAAGGCTAATTTTCTAATTATCTTTCTCTATCAAAACAAAAGAATTTAAATTATTCGGGTGATGTACCTACTTGTGGTGCTAGTTAGGTTCAACTAGCAGCTTCACAAAACAATGTCCGATTCTATTCTACCAGCAGGAACAATTATTCCTATTTTAACAATAAGTAAAATTAGTTTTTGACAAACGTAATTAGTTCTAAGATCAATGAAGAATAACACTTAAGATGTACTATAAATAAATGTCCTTCTTCCACTATAAATTAAATAACAGGTTGCACTTCAATGTAACTAGTTGATGTTTGGTGTGAAGAAGGATTGTGAATGAATATTCGAAACGGAAATATGAAATTATATTTTTCTTCTTCTCTGTATATTGAAGAAGAGGTTAGAACTAATGTAGCAATATGAAACTTCTCCTTCTCATAGTGTAAGAGAAGAAGAAAATTTGAAACTGAAGGTAAAAGTTGAGAAGAATGTTTTAGCGACGATATTCGTTATGGAAGAAGAGAAAGAACTAATTTTTGTAACGAAATTCGTTATGAAGACAACTTGTTTTCGTTTTTCGTGTTTCTAAGAAACAATGAATATTTTTCTGATTTAACGAAAGGAAAATGAAAAGCAAAGAACTTTCTCGATGAGAAGAAACGGAATGTAACGGAATGTGGCCGGCACAATCACCGCTGTTGGCTCACGAAATTTTTTCTCGAGGCTCAAAAAGCACTAAGTCCATCTTCTTTTAGACGCTCGGGTACCGGCAGGAAGTCCAGCCTCCGCACAAAAGCAGGCCATAGGCCGATTTTCATCAGGAGTACTAGTGGCACTTTCCCGTTATCGTTAGTGTAACGGGTAACGAAAATCCGTTACCGCATTCTCCTCTATTATGGCCACAGGTTTCCAACAGAATTAATGATTTGAGAGCGTTGATCTTTCCATCTTCTTTAGACTGAGCAATAGATACATAGGCGTGTTACATAAGAATGTTGACCCAGCCTAACTTTGCTCGATCATCCTGAAACTTGGGCCTTAGAGAGTTTAGATCATGCTCTTCATTTTTGTCTCTTGGATGAACTCGCCAAAATCTCAAGAAATAGGGTTTCCAGAAAACCCTAGCTTTTTGGACACCGAGTCTTGGAGAAATCTTTTTGTGGAGAAACACAGCGACGCAAAAAATTTTTGAATTACATATTCGGAATCAGCGTCGAATGACGCACATTTTAGAAGAAAGTCTGAGTGAGTTCTCTAACTTAAAATTTGAATTTCTAAATTGAAATTGTAATTTTATTAAATAAACTTTTTTGAAACTTAAACAACTCGGCTCAGAAAACTGATAGAGACCTCGAGCTTTCGCCATCGAGTAGAGCATTGAAAATACTACAAAGGTAGGCGTTTGACAAAGTTCAAGTACCACTTGATCAGGGTTTTCTAAAGGATCTTTGGAAAATCTCCTCCTCATTTTACTATGATTTCGAAATTTTTCGATTCAAACTTTTATTTTCGAACTTTTGACGATGAAAAACGAAAAACTGAAAGTGAAACTCCTTACATACCTTACATGCCAGAGTGATAAGGCAAAGCTCCCTTAGCAAGAAGTGTTTTCTCGTTTGTACGACTTAGGTTAGTTTCCGAAAAGTGTTCACTACAAACTCTTTCGATTCTAGCTACACCGATATTTGACATATTAATAGATAGAATAACACAGCATTTTTGCACCAATAATGGATCAGTAGGCAAAGAGAATTTATACTTATGTTTAAATTTATGACCTTTGCCAATATCGCCTTCCTTCTTTTTACAATCACCAACACAGCAGCGATGTGAAATATTTTTCAAAATATTAATAATTAAAATAAAACGGTGGTTATATAAGAATAGCTTTATTCAAAAAGAACGTTTTTGTTTTGTATCATACACGGAAAAAGCTGACCAGACAACAGATAAGCATTTTTTTCTTTCTTTCTTTCTCCGGCGGAAGACACATGTGCACAGCTGTCGTTTATGTGTAGAAAGTGAGTAGTCTATGATAGACATCGTCTGTGTTATCCAAAAAGAAAAAGATCAAGAAGTCCTTATGGCAGCCATGTTGGTACCAACGAATACGGTCGCTCTTCTTTGAGAATATATTGATGTATATGATTGAGACATGTTCTATGACTTACATGGATCTCTACTCATCGCCAAAAGTTCGAAAATAAAAGTTTGAATCGAAAAATTTCGAAATCATAGTAAAATGAGGAGGAGATTTTCCAAAGATCCTTTAGAAAACCCTGATCAAGTGGTACTTGAACTTTGTCAAACGCCTACCTTTGTAGTATTTTCAATGCTCTACTCGATGGCGAAAGCTCGAGGTCTCTATCAGTTTTCTGAGCCGAGTTGTTTAAGTTTCAAAAAAGTTTATTTAATAAAATTACAATTTCAATTTAGAAATTCAAACTTTAAGTTAGAGAACTCACTCAGACTTTCTTCTAAAATGTGCGTCATTCGACGCTGATTCCGAATATGTAATTCAAAAATTTTTTGCGTCGCCGTGTTTCTCCGCAAAAAGATTTCTCCAAGGCTCGGTGTCCAAAAAGCTAGGGTTTTCTGGAAACCCTATTTCTTGAGGTTTTAGGGAGTTCATCCAAGAGACAAAAATGAAGAGCATGGTCTAAAATCTCTAAGACCCAAGTTTCAGGATGATTCGATGATTGGTTGAGAAGATAATTTTTTATGTAAGTTTAAATGATACGAGTAACTCAGATCTTCCGGATTAAGTTGGTCCGAAGCTTGTTCAGGCATTGCGAAGACCCAACTGGCAGCAGAGACCCAAGCAGACCTCTTAAAGCTTCATCTTTTTACCAATACAGAAGCTTTATCTCGGCTTCTTCGGTCTCTTTCAGTATCGCGTCTAAGGCATCTTTATCGGTTGACCTTTCATCCAAATAAGCAATTCTGATCTCAATTTTCTTAGGTGTTTCCTTTAATCTTTGGGTTAATTTCCGAATGCTGCCCTAAGAACCTTTGATAAAATTCAGCTGCTGTTCATCTTCTCGCTGAAAACATTGACTTGGTTCAATTTTTAGAGTCTAGAGTAATCCGGGACTATGAGAACGAGACAAAACGACTTTCTGAAGTTCTGCCAGGTATCCGGCAAACGATGTTGTTGCAAAATCCTGAAAGTATTAGTCGGCGGCTGAACCACTGAGCCAATTACTGATGTTTCAAAGTAATTGTAAACGTGTGATACCGAATAATACTCGCATTCTGTGTTGGTACTCGTGCAGAAACATATTCGGCTGTGCATTCGCTTTACCGCTAAAACGCGCAATCGAATCATTAACAGTAACGTGTAAAGTCGCCGTTGAAGCGAGAATGGTCTATCCTGATGAAGAACTAGAGAATTTGCTTTTTGACTTTGTTCTTGTTCGAGATTATGACGTTACTTCTTCGCATTGGAATACGAATAATCATCATCACCACTACTTGATGATGTTTCTTTTCTTCAAAGTATGACTTTTCTCGCTGGCCTTCAGACGACCAGCACTACTTTAAAAGTTATTTGCGGGACAGAATCGGAACCAGAGCTTTTTTCTTTGTGTCATCTGGATCAGGATCATGACCAAAAACAGCAGACCTCTATTTATCAACGATTTACATTTCTAAGGACGGTCTTAGAAGATTTAGATCCGGAAAAGCGACACTCTGTACGGTGGATTCAGTTCATTAATCTAAAACCTTACAGGGAATTCGCACAATGTACCTTAAGTTAGAGAGTAGTTGCACGTTTAGACCATCGGAGATCTACACTAACAAACCTTTACTGTTCGTAGACAATTCTTTACCTGCATTTAATTCTAATATAGGTCTTGTCGCTTTACGTCATTTAAAAGATGTTGCTGATGTGGAATGTTTTGATTCCCAACCAGAAGCTGGTGGTCTATGGCATTACACTGAAACTTCAGAACTGACTCATGCTAATTTAGAATCAGATGTTTATTATAAACAAAACGGCTATTTGCATCCGAGCATTCATGAAGAATTAATTGCAAATGTACCAAGATATCTTATGCAATATAAAGATTTTCCAGTGAATGCTATAGCAACACCAATGTTTATGTTACGCGACAATTTTTTTAGCTACTTATTATCTTATGCTTCACATTTTAAATTATCAAAATACATACGTTTAAATCGTTTGGTATCAAGTGTTCGACTTGTCAGCGGGTTTCAGGATAAAAGGGAAAAACAGGAATGGGGATTAACATCTACCAAGAACGACCATCGTCGTTTTGTTGTTAAATATTGTAGTACTACTAAAACTAGCAAAGGTGTATCTCCCGTTGGTTACGCACAATTTGATTATGTAGTTGTTTGCAGTGGACATAATTCATTTCCAATTGTACCAAAAATTGATGGTGCTGAAAATTTTCAAGGTAAAAAAAGAAAAAAGAATTATTTCGTTGCCCCTCATGGCTTCGTCCTAGGTCCACAACCTCGGGTTCTTCATTTTTATGAAGTTAGTGTCTGTTTTGATATTGCTGTAGCCAGGGCGAACTCAAAAGCAAACATAAGAGTAGCGAATACACGTAAAATTAGCCAGTGACTTCCAAAAAGAAAGACTTTTGCTGCAATTGCTAACTAGAGAACAACTCATAATGAAATGTGGAGAATAGCTAGTATGGACCGAGTATATGCTTTGGTGAGAATAATTCCCTGCTCTAATAGTATTGAATGGAAGGGCTAACACACTAAAAGACAATTAAATGGCGAACACTATTGAACTGCAATCAGATGGATCCATGACAAAAAGCTGGGTACGATAATGCGTAGCTCTCTAATGATAGACTGAGCCTATATCCGCTAATGAGATGCTTCTCACTAAAAGACGCTTCTTCGAAATGCTGGCGATCGGATGTGGACGCGCTTATACATGGTAGCAGTGACCTTCCTCTGGAAGCGGTTTCATCTATAAATTGCCTCGGTTTTCAGTCTGTTCTGCTCCAATTAACGTTTCGTTTTATTCCCGATGATAATATGATACGAATGATAATATTTTAAGACGAGTGGTTTCATTGTTCGAATTTCTGTTCTAGGTCTACAAATGACAGCCCATCATTTTCGTAGTTATTCAACACCTGATTTCAGACACAAAAACGTTTTAATTATTGGTGCACGCTACTCTGGTCCAGATATGTTTATACAATTGTTATTTAATCCATATATTGATCAAAATCATGTCGGCACAATCTATGTCTCAGGTGATGTAAGCTGCTTAGAAAAGTCAACAGATTTTGCTCATTTGTACGCGAGACAAAAGATTATATTAAAAAATGGTCGTGTTAAATCATTTGGAAAAACAAACGTTATTTTTCATGATGATACACAAGCTGAGATTGATCTGGTTATCTATTGTTGTGGTTATCACTTTCGGTTTTCATTTTTGGAAAATGAAGATAAACTAATTAATTGGTCCTTAAATGAACACCTTGGAAAATATTGGGGACCTCTTTATTCACGAATGTTTTGTATTAAAGAACCACACTTAATATTTATTGGTGAGTTTCTGTTATTGTTGTACTATAAAAAATAGCGTGGCTTATGTGTCGAAATTTGTCACGTTTTGTGCGACACAAGCAACAGGATTGCGAAATTCAAGTTTCACTATTACTAATGCATAGGAGGAGACAGGAGAAATTTAGTATTTTTCAATTTTTTTTTCGATATTTATACATTGAACACATTTCTTGTATTAATGTGTCTGTGACCATCTGTACTCTTGCTAACGTCCAGTTTCCGAACAGTATAGAATTTGATCAAATTACTCATTGATCAGATAACAGCGAATTTGAAGAAACGAGAGACAGGCTCTTCACATGTAAGAGTGATTTGAGTCTACATAAGTGTCGAAGTATAAAGGTTGAGGATAGCTTTTTCGAGTTTATTACCGACACTACAAGTTATCTCACGCTATAAACAGAACTCAAAATTAAAACCTAGCAAATACCTCAGGACAAAGAAAGGCTAGATTTTGACGGAAAAGCCATAAGCTCCGAAATAAAACAATCAATTTAACTAATCATTTTTAGGCAACTTGTGATAGCAAAACTATGAATGAAAAATCGTTTATCTTCACGCAATTTCTCTTCAATTGGACTCTTTCGGATAGAACAATAAACAACCGTTAAATTCGACATTTTTCCTTTGATCTGATCATGAATTTTTCTCAAATTAGACAAAAAATTCAACAATCTTAATCAGAAAACGGTTTGTTTTCCAGAACTCCGATGAAACGAAATATTTTTCCAAATTTTAATGAATATGAATTTTGAATGAAATCAAAAGTAACCACTGTTTTGCACAGAACAAGAGTCTGTTCTCCTTTCTGTAATTCTGTTCCAGTATATAGATGATTACAAAAAAGGAATTTTCTCTTTTGCGAGCTTTCGCTGCCTCCGAGAGCATCATCTGGCGATTTTTTAAAAATTGATCGCCTCCTGATGCTCTCGAAGAGAGAGAAAGCTCGCAAAAGGAAAAATTTCTTATATGTAATCATCTATATACTGAAGTTTATAAAAAACACTATATTATTAAAAACTAATGTAATTCTGTTCTCCACAGCCATATACACATGCATCAATTGGCAGATTTATTTCTATTTATGTCAACCGATCTTTACAGTACTCTCAAACGCCATGAGCTTCTTGAACTAGCTACCTCTTAGGAAGCGACTTATCACTAAGGAACTCGAAGTAATTGATTTCTACTTTAATAAGTCAGCATATTTAGTCGTCTAAGATGGAAGACATTCCAGCGAAATGTTGCTTTAGCCTTCTATACTGCTAGACTTCTTGTTTTTTCTGTAGGTAATCACGATCATTCTATAATTATTCAATTAATAATGGAAAAACAATGCATTGTTGCTAAAAAGGTTATTAATAATGAAATTCAATTACCATCAAGCCAAGAAATGTTAAAAAGTTTTCATGAAGACTTAAGAAAGTATTTAACATTAAATAAACCTCTGAAAGATTACTATCGTTTAGATACAAGTGTAAATGATTGGTCGTATATTGAACAATTGCGTCAATTGGCAAAAATGAAGGGTAACGAAATCGTTGATCAAACATTGAAAAATATCGCTACGAAATTTCTTGAATTAGCTTCAGTTGGTAATTGGTTATCATACAGAAAGTATGATTTTGCACAATTAGAATTACCCGGGTATAGAGATACAACAGACTTCTTATAAAGCCTATTGAACATGATTTATCATTAAACTTTTTACTTTATATTCTCTTGATGATCGGTGCAGGTGATTATGACTTTTTTTGCTTTCCCAGCAACAAGGTTTGGTTATAGTCTACCGTTCTTTTTATGCTTGCAGAAAAAGAAAACGTTTTTTTTCTTTATTTTTTTGTATACTACCCTTTGTCACCGCCAAATAAAATCAATTAGTCAGTCAACTGGCTTAAATTTCAATATACTTTCGAGCTTATACCTGTGAAAAACTACCAAAAACAAGATCAGAAAACCTGTCGGATTTCGAATGTGTGATGATTCTGTTGGCGCATGCATAAAGTTTGATCGGAGGTCTCAGACTACTGATGCAATATGATCATCAAAATCAATCAAACAACTTCACTAAAAGTTAAAGTAACTTCACTTAGATTACTCCAAAACCAGTAAATTCCGTCAATAAGCAATATTTCTAATTGGTCACTAGATAGAAGATAGTATCGATTATGTACTAGATTTCATCAAACTTGACAGAGGGCTGTTCGAGAGGGGCTGACACATTTTAGTCCCAGCACTCATTCACTGTATGTTAGGGCGTAGACACAACTAAGTTTAATCTATATTTATTAGTTAGCTGAAATAGGTACCACAGATAGTCAGGAATCGCCAAGCATTGTATCTGGCTATCTAAAGAAACGCAACATAGACAAATGAGAATAACAACAAAGAATAACAACTATTGTTTTCCAAAAAAATAAAGGAAAATTAAAAATAAAAGAGAGGAGATAAAAAGAAAGGAGAAGGGAATATGCATAGTAAGTTAACTGTTAAATCGTTTTGAATATTCAATAAATTTTATAACAGCAGAAGAGATTACAGAATATTCATCATATTCAAACCAATTTTTTAATAGCAGATTTTTAACATCAATCCTAATTTTTCGTGGTATGGAGTAAGACACAACTTATTAGCAGACAGGCAAACAGATACGTCAAGGGATGACGAGGGGGAATACGAGAGTGATTAGAAATAAGAATTTAAGCATTAGGAATGTGCCTCATTTACCCTTGCCTTGCAAGAACAACGAATGTTTTAGCACCTTTTCTTTGAAGAAATATTCTACTGGCAGACTCTAGATCAAAAAAGGTCTATCCGACTGATCTCTAACGGTGCTAGAAATGAATATATACAAGAAATAAAACCTTCGATTTTAATTTCAATGTTTAGATTTTCTAGCAGCATTCATGAAATTGATTTGGGTTGTACTTTTAAATGTTTGTGTTTCAAATGTATTTGTCTTCTGAGATCTCCAACTATTAAACAAAGCACAAAAAGAAATAGATGGAAAATGAGTGCCAAATATTTATTATTGTAACTGTTTTCGTACACAAACATTTCGGATTCAACATCAATGAATAAGCAAATAAAATGGATAAAAATTATCTACTTACCCTAGTGGAATTTCTTGTACTCAAGATCTTGGGTTAAGAAATGTCACAAGATCTTGGAAAAAACACCAAGAAGTCAAGATCTTGGATTCTTGAATTTTTCACTCAAGATCTTGGCCAAGATCTTGGGTTAAGAAATTTCAAGATCTTAGGTGGCGTAAGCCAAGATGTTTCAAGATCTTGGATTCTTGAATCTGTCACTCAAGATCTTGACCAAGATCTTGTATTAAGAAATTTCAAGATCTTGAGTGAAGCCACTCAAGATGTTGCAAGAGCAA